GAGGAAGCGTTCCGATTCTCCGTCCGGCCGTTCAGGAACCACAGAACCGCCGGTTAAACAGATGCGAGGTGCGCGCGATTCGAACGCGAGCAATCCATCTGCAGGAGGACTTACATACACTATCGATCTCCCCGGGGCATCCACAGATGATGTGAGTTTTGTACTGCTTTCTACTTCATGCACATGTTTTTGTCTGTAAATTTTGTTAAAAGTCCCACTACACTGTAGCCGGTCTGTCTTATCTCGCCTGCAGTCAGCAAAAAACAATACTTTAAAACAACTGACTTACTGGCCTGGTAGCGTCAACTGTTCTATCTGACGAAGATCCTTGTGTCTTTGATAACTGTATGGAATAGAGAAGTTACAGAAATGGGTTTGTCCAACGTACTGTTGCACTGTGCTCATGCACACTACAATCGAGCTTTTTCTTCTGTCACTGAAATAACAAACTTAGTGAATATGGTAAGTAGTGTTTACCGTCACCTCTCTCTGAAGTGATCGCGCTGCTATGTAGTCGGTCCTTACATACCTTTAACTGCCCTATCTGTGGCATTAAAAGAACCATTAAGTAGGAGAAGGATTACCGTCAGCCCCCCCCCCCCCCACGATGTCGCAGCCTCAGGGATTCTAAAAGAAATGAATAACTTCCAGAAAATGCCGCATATCATGTCAGTCCGGAGTGTGTATATCTGTATGCTTCTGAATAGCACGAAAAGTTGCGTGGTTTTTTGTCTGACCTACACTGGAACGATGTTATGCATTGTTACGTTCGTTTCTTTTTCCATTATGATTAATTACCTAATTGAAACGAAATCAACAATAAACAATCCCCGGTAGATATATCGAAGAAATTGAAGTATTTTGTGATGTGGCCAGCCTAATGCTTAAATACCACACTCGGCGTTTATCCATCTTTCGTTTTGGACTGGGGAAATTTTTCTGTCCCATGTGCCGAATTTTCTTGCAACAATAATGCCCCATTCAGTAATTGTGATTTGAGGCTGATAACAGAACTGGTCACCTCCCGTCTGCTATAATCTGCAACTGTTTCAAGTCTGATTTGAGAACTGCCAGTTTGAATCGAGAGCGAAACGCTGTGCGGTTGGATCCACTTTCGTTCAGACCGCCTCATCGATCGATTGACCTCACGTTTGTCTACCCCCGGATTGACCACCTGTCTTTGTGTGCTCCTCCTCTGTTGAAAAGTGAAGCAGACCCCAGTCTTACATCTTGTCCGGCTCGTTGACGGATTTCGATTCAGTGGATCAGTGAAGTCGTAGGATTTGCGTGAGACGTATAAGCTGGTCCTAAATGGATAAACAAAAGATCGATGCACTGTTTACTGCGAGCTGGTCGTAGTTGCTCGAAAATTGACGATAGCCTGATCCGGGCGATACACTTTTCATAACGTGAATCATGGACCTATTCTACTCAGATTTTGTTGAGATGCTTGGATCGAAGTCACTGAGGTGGACTTGTGTGACTGGGCTGTGTTTTTGTCAAAAGTGAACTGCACCGAAAAACATGTATCACTCAACGCATCCTAGTGATCTCCTAGAGCTCTTACCGTCCTCAACTGATTTATTTCTTCTTCTCATCATCTCGGGGAAAATATTTTGCCAGTCGAGGGGTCCATAATTCGCGTAATGAAAAGTGCATCAGTCGGAGTACACCGTAATCATTGAACTCGTTCCTGGTTGTAGTCACGGGGGNCCGAATTGTCATCGTCTGTCGATTTGCTCGACGGGAGGCAAGACTGAGGTCCCCTTCATTTCAACAGCATGAGGAGACACGCGGTCAATCAGGGGAGGGGGTAGAAAAACGTGTGATCTATTGACCGATGAGACGATATAACCAATCACACAGCGTTTCACTCTGAACTCAATGCGATAAGTTTTCCAAATGTTTAAACAGTCCCGCAGAACACCTGAAGAGAATTCAAAATCGGCAAACAAGCTCGTTTTCAGTGCATCTTAATCATACCATTATAAT